ACCACTAGCAGCCTGCGTGCTTCAGAAGCGGTCCGTAGGCAGGCTGGTCCACGAGCGTCAGTGAGGCAGCGGACCGCCCAGTTCGAGAAGGCCGGGCACCGTTCGCGGAGCACACTGAGGGCATCGGCCCAGGCCGCCCAATAGGCCGCCGGGCCGGTGCGCGTGGCCTGAGACAGTCCCAGCCCGCCAAGGCTGGCCGGGAGCAGGGCGATGTCCCGAGCGGGGCATGCCTCGTCCTCTGCAGTGGCACCCAAACAAGCTTGAAGGGTGCCCCATACGGCTGCATCACGTGCTGCAGTGTATGGCGCGAGAAGGTCGGGAGGAACAGTCCGGAGTGCATGGTTAGCACGGGGTGCCGCGCAGAAGCTGAGTAGGAGCCACGCGCACTGAAGATCAGGCAGCTTGGCAAGCTGGCGCAGCAGCGTGTCTTCGGCTTCGAGTCTTTCGGCGCCCCAGGCGCGGACGTACTCTGGCGTGCCTATAGAGATGCCCAGTGCGACGAAGCCACGTTGCTGCGGGGGCCGGCTGCCACGCCAGACCTCGGGCCGGGCGGCGCCGGGCCAGCTTCGTAGTTGAAAACACGTTTCTTGCCCAGGTTGGCAGATATGCCGGCATGTGTCTCGACCTCGCGTGTCACCAGATCCAAGGCGGCACGTGCGCGGGATGGTTCGGGCAGAAGGACATAGAGGTCATCAAGAAAAGCCATGAGCGATTCACCCTGCCGTAACTGTGCATCTGCCCGTCGCAACGCCTCATGCTGGCCGAGCGCGAACAAGGCGGGGGCAAGGGGGTCGCCTTGTTCGCACCCCTCCGCTTGGGGTATGCCGTGGCGGACCCTGTCGTCATCCCACCATTGGTATTCAGACGTCTGGTCGTAAAAAAGGCGTGCGAACGGTACCAGTGCAGGTGCTACATTGCTACATCGCACATGTTTTCCAGACTTCTGACCCGAGGGCCGTGCGTAGGGATCAGGCGTTAACCGTTGATTCATGCCATGAAACGAAGGGAACAACAACAAAGATCGTGCGCAGACGGATCTGCAGAGTTGTGTCGTTGGTTGTGGGCGACCGCAGGACAGGTTTTACCAGTTGAACAGGGCGCTGCCTGGCAACATTGCTGGCGGGCGGGGATGGGCGACATGCCGCTGCCAGACACCACCTGCCGCAACGACCAACTTCCGCTGAGCATGGGAAGCTTGGGGCTTGGATTTGCTGAGCGATTCACTTGCGTCATTGCGCGCAACGGCCTTCTCAGTGCCATCTTGGGCGAGACTTGTCCCGGGCAGACGACCGGGCTGGCAGCGCACGGCATCGAAAGCACTTGACAAGCGCGCGCTCTGGACGCTCTTCGACGACATCTACGACTCGGGTGCTGCTGTCACGGGCTGGCGATGCGGCGGGCTGCGTCCTCACGGCCCGTGCGGAGGATGCTTGGAGGTGTACGGCCACCATCGCTCGGCGTGCGCGCTGATGAAATGCTGGCCGGCAGAGTTGGCGCCCTCGAGTGACTGGCAGCACGCAAGGAGGCGGGATGTCCCCCACATGCTTATCGACATGCCTGCGAGCGACAAACGCCGCATAGAGGTGGTCTCCCCAATCGGGAGAAGTTCTGAAAATCGAGGTGGATGCCGCAATCTTGAGCCCAGTCCGCCGGGACGGCCAACCACCCCGACCACGGGCTGACCAACAACCCGGCCTCGCCCTAAACCAGGCAGTCGACCACAAACTTCGCTTACCCGGAACTGCGGCAAGCTCGGCGCTGTGCCGTGGTGCGCTGCGGCCGCGAGACAGGCCCTCGAGCTGCGCATAGCGGGGCCCAGATAGGTGCCGTTGGGAGAGTTTCGTAGGTACGGCGGTGAGAAAGGGAAAAGTGTTCGAGGGTGACAACGGTCGGCATGCCGACCAGCAAAATTAGGGACATAGCTGGCCTGGCCTTTCGTTGCCCCAGGCCCATGAACAGAGGGCAAGAAAACAACAAAAAAAAAAGAAGGGCAAGACGGCTGCTGTGCGGCGAAGTTGGGTGTGAAGTGGCAGCCTGGGTTGTCCGAATTCACCGAAGCTTAAATGACAGGCATAGGCAGTCGACGCCACGATGCAAGCAAACATCGAATTTACTAGGTTAACGCTACCGTATTGCTCAAACCTGCTTTCAAATCAATGTTTCAGACGCCGGGCTCGCCATTGGACTCGGCATCGAGCTTCCCCTAGTCCTCGATCGGACAGTGCACGGGTAGTGCAGATATTTTTCCACACACCAGGCAAAATGAACATGCACGTGCCGGTGTTCAATGGTCGGACTTGTAGTGAAGGGGTTTCCTGTACGGCATGGCGCACAGCTGGTGATCCATCGTCAGCCCCGTCACTAAAGCTGGTGATGTCCAGCCAGGACCGCCGAATACCTGTGGTCATGCCGGGTGATGCCGGTGACCTTCGACCAGGTTCTCAGTGCAGCCAGTATACGACCCAATGTGGCAGCGCGCTTCAAGCTAACGTTTGTGTTTTGTTTTTCGCTTTTGTCACCAGATTTTGGAGCGTCATCAAAAATGTGCGCGAAGACACGCTTTCCGCGTTCAGCACAACACAGTCGGAGGCCCCCCCTCCGCAATGGAGCAAACCTTGTGTGTCCTATGGTGCCGCCGCGTGCTCGGCCTCGAGTTTGCATCCAGTTCATGTGGTTGCTTCCCGTTGCTTGGCACATTCCACACTTCCTCACATTGCAACGGCAGCCAGCTTTGCAGCATCGCTGCTGTCACCGCCCCTCCCCTGCGCTACCAACGTTGATGGCTCCCTCCCTGACCTCAGCGATGTGAATGTTGAGCACCTTGACAGCCCGCCGCCTCCGAGTCGTTGACATCCCCACGGCATTTCAGCACCCCGTGCCTGTAAAAAAAGATTCCCTAATAAATCCGTCGCACATGTGTTCCCAGCCCCTCAGGGTTGGTGGGACATACGTCTTCCGTCGCGTAAAAGCCCATTTTGCTGTAGCTGTACTCTTCATCTGTGGAAAGATTCACTGGCTTGCGCAGTGGACAGCTTGTGACATGAATGCTTGCAATTGCCCAGGTTCTGGTGCGACGTGGAGGAAGGGCGCACCCCAGCGAGGCACCAGTTTCGCAGTTTCCCCTTCCAGAAGTGGCACAAGTGTTTGGTTAGTTTTGTTGCATGGCTTGTGCTGTAGCAAGCTAGTGCTGCAACATGCAGTTCGTTTGCCCAGCAGCTTGTTTTGCCCTGCTTGCAGCAAACACGCTGGTTCAAGCTGAGCTTTCCAGCTTGTTGCATAAGCTGTACCGGAGCATCACCACGAGGCTCGGGTGTGTCATTGGTCGTTGATCGGATGGATCTGTGAATCAGAATATCCATGACATGTCCTGTGACTGTGTTAGGTGTTTCCTGTGCAGGTTGGTGGTGCAAGCATTTTCCCGACCGGACACCATCCAAGCATGGATGCCGATCAGCCGTTTGTTGTGTTGAGATCTCAGCCTGGCATCAAGGATGTGGCGTCACAGGCCCCTCGAGAACCGCCACGCATGAGTGCCCAACACAGGAGCCAAGAAGGGGACTCGTCCAACAATCGCAAGTGGTCAGCTTTGGCGTGTGCTGCGGTATGTGGTGCTGCGACCGTGAGACGGACAAAGCGCACGCAGAAGCGGCCAGTTGTCAGCCGTCAAGTTTACAAGGTTGAGATAGATGTCCCTGATCCAAAAGAAGTCGAAAAAGAGATTGAAACAATTGCAGGGCCCACAATTGCAAAAGACTTGCAACAAATCGGTCGTGCTGCTTCTGAGATGTTGCACTCGGCAGAGAAAGCACTCCCCAAAGTGACGCTTCCGTCGCTTCCCAAAGGGATGTTTCCAGAAGTTCCTCCGGAGCTGACAGCGGCAGCAAAGCAGTTGGCCTCGAAAGTGGAGGCGGCTGTGGGCCCCAATCTAACGGACCTCAGCAAGCTAGCCGCCACCCACTTGCCTCCGGACATCGCCAAGGTCTTGCTGCATCCGCAGGTGCGGAGCAGAAGCGGCAAAAATTGTGTCAGTTAATGCTCCGAAAACAACTTCTAGGCCTAGGCAGAGAGGATCAGGATCAGACAGAGGCAAAGGCTGAGACTTCACCGGCCCTGAGGTGCTGGAGCCGGCCATGATGCCAGCGGGCGTGGGCGCTTTTGTGGTGTGGCTCCTGGCTTTGCGCAGGGGCCCACAGCCCTGGTTGGAGGACGTCGGAATTGGGAAGGGGATGGGTCTTGGGCCTCGACCGTTATAACACGTTAAGAGGATCATGCCGTGCATTCACCTCGGGAGGTTTTTAGAGCAGCTGGTGGCAGGAGCTGCCTCGTGAGTACGACTATGGCCGGATCACTGCCTACTGGCAGCGCAGGCGGGCAGAAGCAGAGCCGGGTAGTTTTCGCCGAGTTTGAGCCCCTGATAAGCTGAGGCCGTTCAAGCTCCTCACCCGCTTCGTAGAGGCTGGCATCAAGGTCGGGGGGTTCCTGTTCGCCCTGAAGACCGACGAGTGGACCGGCGCGGAAGATAAAATGCGGCCGCAAAGGGCGATCGAAGCCAGGGAGTTGATCACCGATCTCGGGGTGACCTTCATCAAGATCGCACAGGTTTGGGCGTCGCGCCCGGACATTCTGCCCAAGGAGTCACTGGGCCGCAGTTGGCGAGAGAGAGCGACCGATGACCTGGCGTTTTGCGGATGCCCCAGGTGCATGTGGACGTGGGTAGTCTTCTTTGTAGCTGTAGTTCGTCTAGGAGTGCGATGCACCTCATGCGAAGCTAATGCTTTCCACGGAGTGTCAAGACTTGTTCGTTCTTGCCTTTACGGTTTGAGGTACTTGAAGGAGTACGAGAAGCTTTTGGAGCAGGCGGGGTTGTTGCTTGCAAATTGTTGTGGAGCATAGGCTCGCTGCATCTCGCTGCCGTCGCTTTGTCAGCGTGTTCCAATGAATGGTAGTGGTACGCAGTCGCTGCCACGGCAACCTCAGTGCTTGTAAATTCGCAGCGAATCTCCAGGGGTTATTGGCACGGTTGCTTGTGAGCTGTACGCTTGCTATTGCGTCTTTCAAAAAAAACGAAATCGGCCATCCGAGCACACCGTAAATATCCTAGCAATGCCCGAAACACGCTGCGAAGCCGAGAACCCATCCGAACCGCTGCAGTAGGCTCGCAGACGGCAAATTTGGCGTTGATAAGGTTCGAATCTCTCTGAGCCCTCGCCGGCCAGGTTCGGCCCTTCGGCCGTGACCTCGCGCTGGAGACCTTGCGAAGGAGCGTGGACGGCAGCAAGGCGGCCATCGACTTGAGCCTCGGACGGAATGATGATGGGACCTATCAACATCAACCATTGCTGTTTTGTGTGGATGGTCCGGTACGGGGTTCATCTCTTGTGCGGAGTAGCTTGGAGGAAGGGTTCAGTCAGTTGAAGCTTGAGAGCTTTGGAGCAAACTTGTCACGAAGTGCGGGTGTCCGCATGAGGATGCTACCGTGACATCCTGTGTCTTCCCGAAGCCGTCCTTCCATTTACCCTTACCTGTCCTGCAACAACACTCCAAACATCAAGAGCTTGAGAAGCCGAGACCCTTAGCAGATCTGCTTTGCATATGCCTGCATGTAGACATACTTACATACAAACAGCCACACAAACATACACGCGCACATGCAGAGTCTTACATGCGGACATGCTGCATGCATGCATACCTGCCTAGCTACCTAGCTACTTAGCTACCTAGCTACCTAGCTACCTAGCTACCTAGCTACCTAGCTACCTAGCTACCTAGCTACCTAGCTACCGCTACCTAGCTACCCAGCTGCCTAGCTACCAACCTACCTACCTACTTACCTACCTACCACCACCTACCGACCCACCTACCTACCTCCCTGCCTACCTACCTACCTGCCTGCCTACCTACCTACCTACCTACCTACCTACCTACCTACCGACCGACCGATTGACCGACCGACCGACCNNTACCTACCTACCTACCTACCTGTTTTGGGTGGGTGGGGGGTGTAGGTGGCTGGGTGCTTGGGTCAAAGGGTGGGTGGCTGGGTGGGTGGCGGGTGAATGGCTTGGTAGCTACCTACCTACCTACCTACC